CCCCCTATAACACTGTTGATTATTCCGTTTTATATGAATTCCATGTTGTACGAGTCACTTAGATTTTACAAATACGTGAGCCGTTCACATCCCAGCACATGTATTTGTAAAATCTAAGTGACTCGTACAACATGGAATTCATATAAAGCGGAACAATCAACAGTGTTATGGGGGGTCGACTGTAATACAATACACATAATCACAATGTACTAACACTATAATTATGTGTAATGTATAAAAAAAAAGCAATAATTATTGATTTTATAAGAGTTTTATTTAATACAGCACAAAATTTTTTAAAATAAATTCATTTTATTAAGAAGGGGGAAAAAATGATTTTATCACTTAAACTCTTCCATTCACAATCACTACATTTGAATTATTATTATTATTTTTTTAAATCAGTATTAAGTATTTACGCTTTAAATAGTGTATTAATACTTAACGTACGAAAAAATAACGAAATAAAATAAAACGGAAGGAAAAGGAGACGACCTATATACAATGACCGCTAGGATAAAAAAAATATAAAAAAAAAAAAAATAAGTAAGTAAATAAAAGTAAAGACGACGAAATCGACCAATGAGAGAAGACGAGACTGCGCGTTACGTGTACGATGCGCGCGCAGTGTGTGATCAGTCTCAACATCAAGGAAGAAAACGATGGGATGTATGTAAAGGTTAATATTTATCCCAAATATAAAATTGATTTGGGAATCGTTTCGGTAATGTTTTAGAATGTTACAGAACATGAATGGTGGGCAAGTTAGTGGAAAAAAAGGATCGATCTGCCGTTATTTCGCAAGTAGCGGGAGTTGTTATTATGGAAACGAATGTCAGTTTTATCATACAAATCCTACAAATGTAAATTTAAATAATGATCTCCAGCTTAGAGATGGTCAAACATCGATAAGCCGTACGGGAGAAGGTGAGACGTTTATTAATTAAATGTATTATTTACACGTTGTTAATTGACGATATGTTATAATATTTTAGGCCTAAGACGTAAGCCTAAAACAACCAAACAAAAGTGTTGTTGCTAAGCAGATGATGTTGTAAAGCGTCACCTGGATTTTTCACTTTTACACGTTTTTAAATATTTTACACAATACTTTATTGTAGCCAACTTGTTTTTGTAAATAGCGTCGATTTATCTTACTTTATTTTCGTATTTCTTAACATTGTGTATATGTGTGTGTGTGTGTGTGTGTGTGTGTGAGTCGTATCTGGGTTAGTAGTAGCGTGTTATCTGCGAGGTGTTCGGGTAGAAGTTACTTTTAGTTAATTTGTTTATATGTAAGTAAATGGAGAAGTGAAGTAAAAGTAATTCCTGCCAGCTCTATNTGTAAAACCAAATAATTCGTTCCAACGCGAAAAACATACTCAAATTAAAGCCAAGTAATACATTTAAAAAAATAACTGTAGTAAGAAAAACAAATGAAAAATGCGAACTAATGTAACGTCGTATGGTGAGTTTTTGTTCGTATCGTAGAGCAAAAATATGTACGAATTTCATGTCGTATCCTGAAAATTTCGTATCCTGGAGCGTTCGTAACCTGAGGTACCACTGTACTTGTATAGTACACAAATATATTATACAGTACATATAAATTCTGTACGAATCAGTTTATTAGTTTTGTTCTTTCCGGCGGATTTTATCTTGTGTCTTTCTTTTTCTGATAAACTTTCACACAGAAGGAAAATAAAAGAGTGTTAGTGGTGTTGCACAATGTTTGAATACGAGAATGCTTAAGCTACTTCACATTTCTCTGGAGTTACAATAAAAAACAAAACGATAAAAGTGAACAAATTACTTACAAGTAGGTATAAAATCTGTATTTTGTTTCTGAAGCAGATTTTTCTGTGAGTAAACTAAAATGGCTACCTGCAATACGGTCCCACCAATGGCCGAGTGGATATAACCACTGAACATCTTCCCGCCTTGCAGGAATTAATAATATTCTCGCAATTGTACAAAGTTGTTTTGTTCCACTCATCCTGTACACGTTCCCATAATTGGTGGTTGCTTTCAGACTGAGCTGCATACTCAGACAAGCGATATTTAAGAAGAAACTAGATGCATTCAATCGAGTTGAGATCGAGATGGCTAATATTTTTATCCCGAAACTACAACATTGCTCTTCTGGATTTATGTTTTGAATCTTTATCTTGCTGATAAATGAAAAAGCTTCTACCAATGTGGTAATAATCAACAGATTATAACAAATAATTGTCAAGTATTTCAGTGTAAATAACGCTATCCATTCTATTAGGTATAGAACAGCATTCCAGGGCCAAAACAAGTAATACAGCTCCAACTATAAGACCACCACCACTAAATTTCAATGTTTTTTTATACTTCTCGCTCAGTTATAGATGTAGTCCATACTCATTTTCATTCATCTGAATTAACTCTATTAATGTTGGATTCATCTGACCATACAATCCTCTTCCAATCTTCTAAGGTCTAGTCTTTATAGCATTTGCCAAAATTAAGACGTTTCTGTTTATGTAATTTGATAAGTTTAGATTTCTTGGGCTTAATTTTTGCTTCACTTCTATTCCTAAGCCATGTTTTACTTCACTCTTGTGATGATATATCGCAACGTCCACTCGTTATCAAACATTTTTCTTTTGGCGCTCAACGTTTTCTTCCTGCCAGCTCTTAAATTTTTGTAATATGGTAGCTCACTATTTTTTATTTTATTCTGGATATACTCCGTCAAACACCAACTTCTTATGCTGCTTTCTCATCAGAAAAACTTTTCTGCAGCAGGTTTACAATACGAGTTTCTTCTCACTGGAAAGCTTCTTTACTATGAAGCTTATCAAGCAGCAACTCGATTGCACATTTATACGCCAATATCTCGTTAATATGTACGAATATAAAGTTTAACGTTGATGTTAGGGCCTATAACAAATTAACTTACGTGTCAAAATCCTCCCAATACTGTTAACAAGCAGAATTTATACACCATAGATATTTTAAAAATATGAAAATTATTTTAATTTTTTGCTATTATGTAAATATTGTAATAATCTTACAGCTAATTTATTTCCTTTTCTTTTTACTTTCGCATATCGAATAGATTTTGATACTTACTGTATATTGCAGTAACGTATATTATATGTATATAAGTGTATATTGTAAGTTTTTAAATAGTTTTACGATACAAAGCATTTACTTTAGCTATGCAATAACTTTTAATAATCTTAACCTTGAAATACCTTCACGAAATGCTTTGTTTACATCATATTTTTTCTATTATTTTTTTTTGAATATTGCATCATATTCGGTTCATATCAGTGCTTAGTACTATACCTAACAAAAGTACAGGCAAAGCTACCAAAAAGGCTGGTTATTTGATATTCTGCTGGTATATGTATTATTATTATTAAAGTAAAATGTTTACTTTATAATAATACCGCGAAAAAAAATATTATAATTAAAGACCTTGGGACAAGAACATGTTAACTCAGTTTTTTCTTGAATATATACTGTACAAACATAGGACAAATGTATTTTCCAGACTCCTAGACTGGCCTCTCAACCTCGAATATCATTAAATTGTTTAATTTGAAAACAATATACTGTACTTGTAATACTAAATAAAGAAATAAAAGAAATAAAATATGAAATATTTTTCGAATATTAACCATCTTCCAGTCACCATTTATATGTTAATAGTTACAATGTATAGGATACTATAAATACATTATACTATATAAATATGCATTGTATACAACATATTATTTAAGGTAAGAAAGTCCTACCTTATATAATTTTTACACATAAAATTTTACTTTCCATAGGAACAATCAATTTTGTATTTTAAAGTTTTTATTTATAATGATTTCCCATAGTTTAATTTCATTTATAACTTTAAAAAATATCTAAACTGAGATAGAATTTTTCAAATATTTTATTTAATTTAAAATGTTAAGTATAGTTATTGTCATTTATTTCATTCTCATTTAATTATTAAACATTAAAACACTACAAAAACAAATAATATAAACTCAGTAAAATTATTTAAATAAAAATCATACATGCTTCTATATGAGAAGTTCAGTGAAAACTAGCACAAGTTATAAAAAAGTGTATTGGTTATACATTACAAAATCATATTATTCTTATTAAAAAAAATATTTAGGTATATAGTTGCTTGCATATTATTAACATTTATTATTCATTTAATTTTGAGTTAACCTTTTCTTTTTTATTCTTTTATTATATAAAAATAAATAAATAAAAACATTCTTCTCACTTGTACCACTTTTCCATTGACCCCTCCTATTTTCATAATTAACATTTATTTGTATTACTTTAGAAAAATTAACCTTTGATATCTAATATAGATTGAATTTATAATTAGTTAAAAATATTGAGATGAAAAATAAATAAATAAGGTATATTTTGCTTTATATCTCATTTAATTATTTTAATAAGATATTAGATATTCTAACAAATTAAGAATTAATTTTTTTCTATAGTCTACTTTATTAAGGGGATAGGGAGAATATTTTTCTCATTTTTACTAATTTCTCACTGCTTTATATTAAAATTTAATTTTCTATTTCCCCCCACAATTTGTATTTGTTTAAATTATTTTAAATAAATTAAGATTTAGCTCTTCTAAAATTAGATTTTCCATTAAAAATCTCAAGCATAATTTAATTTTCTATGCCTGAATAATGTACTACTTTAGAATCTAAAGTACAGTCGACCCCCTATAACACTGTTGATTATTCCGTTTTATATGAATTCCATGTTGTACGAGTCACTTAGATTTTACAAATACGTGAGCCGTTCACATCCCAGCACATGTATTTGTAAAATCTAAGTGACTCGTACAACATGGAATTCATATAAAACGGAA